GCCCTTATAGAGAAACACAATACAAATGATTATCTGCAAATGGAGAAAACATAAACAGTGCATATGTTTACAAAAAAATAGTTCTCCAGAATCATATTGATGAATCACAGACAAAAAGGTGAAGCTCTGTAGACATATTTCAGACATATTCTGGCTGATTAAACAAAAGCGGTCAAACACAGTGGGGGAAAGCAGTGATCTGGGGCTACTTTTCTTCTTCAGGACCAGAGCAATTTGTCATAATTTAAGGAACAATGAACTGCCCTCGCTTGAGGAATTCCTGAAGTCAATGTTCTGACCATCAGCTCTTTACACTAAGTTGATGAACTTGAATAACTTCTGGACAACCATCCCACATCCACCAGCAACAGCACCTCTTAATAGCTAAAATAGCTCAATAGGCTCAATCCAAACAGCTCAAATTGGTAAGGACACTTATCCATGACGGTCTGTATGAGACATGCTAATGTACACACCTACCTGTGTTTTTGGTTTTACTATGAAGAGCTTGAGCCTGCCTTTACCATTGGGTACATTTTTTTTTTTTTTATAGTTCTTTTCCCAGAAGGCTGTGGTCCTAATTTGCCAAGTGCCATTCATGTGCATGTTTATCGAGTAATGACGACCCTGACGCTGGTGCTTTTTGAGATTCACCAAAGCAGTACATAGCTCCGTTACTACCCTGGATAAAGTTCTAACTGTTGACACTGCAAAAGGTAAAGAGGTAGGAGCTATGAACATAAGATCCTAAATCTCATTGAAATGTTGTTGCATAATCTTTAATGCATCAATCATGCTCAAAAACTGTCAAATATTTCTGAATTAATACTACTTTGCATGGAAGGGGTAAAGGAAAATTTATCAATTAGGATGTTAAAGAGGTAAAACCAGGTATTCTGAATTTTTTATGGAAATTGTTACTTACTATGGTTACACTAGTTAAATTTTCACATAACACCAGCTGGTTTGGTAAGCCTTTCCTCTCGACGAAGGAAATCGTTTGCAAACAGCTTTTTTATTTGCTTTGATACTAAAATTTGCTAATTATAGAACAAGTCTTATGTGCGACAAAAACAGCACAGGTTCTTTCTCACAGCTCTGTATATGTGAGAAAAGAAACATAAGATTCTCGTCAGGTTATTAATACATCAGCTGTGTGAAAATCCCTCCAGATCACTATTTTCTGCACATTGTACAGTATTACCAGTGCTTTTCCAACAAAGAGAGAGCTGCCCTGCAGCTCCACATTGCAGAGTTTCCCTCTGACTACACTAGCAGTAAACACAGACAGGAAATGTCCTTCAACGGTTCTCTCTTATCAACAACTGACATGGAATCACATTAGAAGGACCACAAACAACAGACCCATATTTGAGAGCAACCTTCTTGTTCCAGTTTTTGTTTACTTTTTGCTTTTTTATATCCTCTCTGTTTTGACCCAAAAGGTTCTTCCTTTTTTTCGGCTCTTGGTAGAAGTGAGACATACATCATGTTTGGCCTTTACATGTGCTTATCTTTGCAAAAGGTTTTATTGATGTATCAACACTGATGGAAAGCTATGTTACTTTGCCAGAAAATCCTTCATAGTTAGAGAATGTGTTGGAAATAGGGATTAATCTACTGTGAATGGTAGATTTAGATCAGCACAGTTGTCTTTTTTGAAAAAGACTGACTATAAACACTTTTTTATGTGAAACTTAGTCAGTTGCTTTGAATTTTGGTGGTTTTGTCAAGCTCTTCTGACGTGATATTTCATCAAAATCTAATTAGAAAAAAACATAGGTAAAGAGGAGCTTTGATGAGAGGTAGTGGCACCATCATGCTGTGGGAATGTATCTCATGTAAGGCAGTAAGAGTTGATTGGAAGATGGATGAAGATAAATGTATAAAAATCCTAGAAGAACGCTTGTTAATCTGAGTACTTTTGAAAGTATTTGCTGTTTTTTTAGTGGAGGGTTCTAAAAACCAATTCACATCAGACTTTTTTTTTTCATTAGAAAAAATATTCCCAAAACTTTTCACCTCGTAATTTTAAGCTACTTAGTCTTATCACATAAAATCCCAGCAGACAGCATTGTGGTCATAACATTGTAAACAGTTCAAGGAATCTGTGAAGTTTCTATGTAGTCATTGACATATATTTAAGTTTATCAGCAAGCAAAAAAGAAAATATTATGATCTACCACAGCAGACATAACAGCTGCTGCTTTTCTGTAATGTTTGGGGAGTCTTATTTCCTGCCCGAGGCACAACAGGGCTGCCAATATGTGCAACCCTTTGTGACACTGTCTCAATTTTATGTCCCAAAAATAGAAAAAGTCGAGAAGCATCTGAAAACAAAGCGGGGTGTCAGACAAAGCAGGCAAATTCTGCAGAAAACCCCCCACCAAAACTTCCTTCTCGAGTCAACTATGATCACTGTCAAGGTTTGAAAGGTTGGGGTGGGTGGGTGTGACAGGAGAGCAAGAGCCAACCAAACAGCGCCATGACACAACACGTTCACTTCCGAACACAAACACCCTGTCAAAAACATTTAAGTAACAAACCAAGGGGTTGATTTTACATCTGCAGCATTAAAAACACCATTCTTTTTCCATTTCTGTTCTTGCAAAACCTGCCCATTTGAGCAAAAACCTTGAGGGTGTGACATAATGAGTGCAATCTGCATGATTTTTACTGAATTTGCATGAATAATACAAATTCTGGACACAGTTCCAATAAGCCTCATATGCACCCTTAGTTTCCCCAATGCAAAAAAACTCTAAATCCTTCAATCTGCTCTAGAGGAAAAGGGTTGTTATGCACTTATCTGAGTCACAAAATGCAAAGTCATTTGACAGTCATCAACATCTTTCGTTGGAACAACCAGAATACAGTTTTCTCATTATAACAAAGGGTTTATATCATGTGGGTTAGCTCTGCAAAACAGATTTTGAAAGTTTAATCAGAACAACCAACCCGAGACAAGAAGCAGCGTTAAAACCTGCTCTACAAGTTTAAAAGACTTAAGGTTTTTTTTTTTTTTCAGTATTCAGCTGACAAAGATGCAGCTTGAATGCAAAAGGCGGTAATGTACCAAGTATTGTAACAACAAATTGTTGGTTTTCACATGGACATGGTTAGCCTTTCTACTATTCTTTTGTGCAGTTCATTTCTTGGTGGGGGTGGGTAGGAGGAGCTGGCAGGGACTTGCCAAGTTGTCATGATTGTCAACTCATAAAGAAGCTGATCTTTTTAACAAGAGCACCTTCCTCCTCCCCTTGATTTCTCAAGCTCAGAGCTTATGTGTGTGTTCATGCCTACATGCCTTCATATGTGGCGTGGTCTTGCCAAAGAGGTGGAGACAAAGGCAGGATGTGATGCAGCACTTCCTCATTCATCCGTTGGATCCAGCACAGTGCAGAGAGCGCCACCTCTTGTTGTATTGTTACCACGACAGCAACGTTCTGGTAAAATTCCATTCCCCTCGATGAGGAAAGCACAAGTGCAGACAGGCCAAAGTGAAAATACTTGATATGATCTAAGGAGCCTCATGAGTGTTATTGGGAAATCCAGTCATGTGTGGGTTAGAACAAGATTCTGCAGTATTGTTGTGTTTAACAGCTGAGTTGGTTTATTCTGTAGGTGGTTATTCTTTTAGATAAAAATATTGAATGCTGAAGGACCCCACCCATGCCAACTTAAGGTTTGAAGGCCTCCTGCTCCTTAGAAGTTGACAAATCCACTTAAAAGCTCTTAAATCTCGCCATGCAATATCTTACTGTTATCACAATGTGCACTCTGATCTGGAAATGTAAACATTAACACTGCTAAAAGCTTCCTAGAAGCTTTAACTTCCATTTGGAGCTTTAAAGGCTGCAGAGTAAAGAGTTACCAGCCCTGGAGCTATTATCCATAGAGACTCTGGTGCAGTTTTCCCTAAGGGCATTTCATCGCTATCTGTGGGAAAAAACATGAATTTTGAAAGCAAATTTTTTGATTAAGACTCACAAGGGTGATTTCCATCCCTAACATGGAGAAGTTCCATTGTACACACAGCTGAGTCAAAACTTAATGGAGCATGCATAGGTGTGCATGGGTAAAACATAAAAAATAAAAAAACTAAAAGAGTAGGAGACTGAACAGTAAGAATTAATTTTGAATGTAATAGAAATTTTGGTAAAATGGCAAAAAAATTAATTCTTTGATGAAAGAAACGTGCATTTGCACGATGCCTTTAGGTCATAATGATGCAAAATCGACTTTAAAAGTCAAAAAAGAAATCTTTTATGATATTTATTTAAATTGAAATTTGATGAGTTTTCCGGAATAAACCCGAGGATCAAAACTATTTTAATGTTACTTTTTCGTTCCATGTAACAAATATCACCTTTTGTTCATTTTAAACTGACAGTCATTTTGCATTGAAATCACCTGACAAATATGTGAAAATGCTTTAATTTTTTTAAAGATTTATCAGTAAAAGACAAATAAAAATATGAGAGATGTCGTCTTCTCCAGCAGAATCCACTGCTTGGATTTTGGCAGCCAAGGGTGTGGCTCTAAGGATGAGGGTGCCTAGAAATGCAGAAACATACATAAAGTCATGATGTCACAACATTGCCATCAATTTCCCATCCATAATGGCCAAAAGTACAGGTAAAGTATGTGGTGATTGGTAAATATAGCATTTTTTTTTATTTCAGAGACACTAAAGTGCTTCATTCATTCACCCATTCACACACTGATGGTGGGAAGCTACATGCGAGCCACAGCTGCCCTGGGGCACACTGCCAGAAGCGAGGCTTCTGTACACAAGCAGGACACAACTGTAGAGATAGACGGACCAAGACAAACTTCTGCATCCTACGCAATTATAATAATTTGAGACTTTTAGGCTGCTCAGGGCCTACAAAGGTGCTGCAGATGACAGTACCCTGACTCCTTTCTGCTGAAGCAGTGAGCATGCATTTCAAAACTAAACATGTTTTAGACAATATTTTTTTCTCAATTCCTGGCAGGGCTACTCTAATTCAGAGAAGGAGGAGGAGAAGAAGATCGGGGAGGAATACAACCCAGAGAAAGATGATGATTCATTCACATAAGAAGAAATGCCTCGAGCTGATAGACACTTTCCTGTCAAAAAACAGTGAGAGGTATGTGCAGGATAAATACAGTCTTTCTGCAATGAATGGAGAGAAAAGATTTGAACATTCATTGATAATGAATGTTCAAATCTTGCATGTACATTTGTGCATAAAAGCAAAAACAGACTAGTTACAAGAATTGGATACTATGCAAAAAAAAACAGGGATGTAAAATCTTATCAAGGCTTTTGCGTAGAGTTTAACAGCAGCTTGAAGGAACGATCTTTGAAAACGCTTTTTTGTGCACCTAGGGTGCAGGAGTGTATCATGGAACAAGCTCTCCAGCTTTGACACAGCTTCATGTATGGTGTCAGAGATGTTATTTTTTACCAGAGTCCTTCTGTCTCCCACAACTTGAAGTGGATTTTGAGGACAGAGGGGACTTTCCTTATTAGATTATCTCCCTTCCTCCTCTCAGCTAAAGATACGCTGATGATCCAGCAAATTGCTCCTTAGAAGATGGCTGGTGCCACCGAGTTGACAAACTGGTTGCATCTGTTAAATTGTAAACTGTGTTTCAGGTACTCATTGTACATTTCAAAATTTCAGATTCTACTTCTTTTAGATTTTTCATGATACATTTAAAAAAGCAAAAATCAGTAAATTAGCCTTATTTGATGTGTTAATAAGATCTGTAAAGTGTCTTGAGATGACAAATGTTGTACATAAACAAACTGAATTGAATTAATAGCATAGTGTATTTTCTGTTCATGAACAATCAATTGGATAAAACCTCTGATGAGGTTAATAAAAAATTAAGGTGAATATAAATCAATATGAAGATACATTTTAGCTTTATAATATATTTCGATTTTATTAAAATAATAAGGAATACTCTCTTAAAAACGCAGAAATTTGATCAAAATTGGGAAAAATATCAAAACTGATTCCAAGAACTTTTAAAGATTGCACAGAAGCCCTGTCTGTAATTCTGAAAGTTGACTAACCTATTGTAACATTCTGACTAATATCAATTAAAATTTGATATTGAAACTGTGAAACTAGTGGCAGAGTATGTATTTGCCAAGAGAATCTGTAAGATATCAGATTTTTTTTTTTTTTAAAGGACTGACATTAGCATTAAACTGCTTTAAATGTCAATATTGTTATTTTCACATAAAGATGACTCTACATCAGCATGAGAGTCTGAAATGCAAAAAACAGTCATAGAAAAATCTGGGAAGCTGTCAATTTAATAGCTACAAGAGCAAATTTCTGCCATTTAGTATGGCATGGGGGATCTGTGCTTAGAAATTAATGAAGAAATAAGAGGAGTCGGTCTGCTGAACATCCCAACTATAGCTAAACAACTGTCTGCAAGGAGTTCAACATAGAAGTACAGAATTCTCTTACATAATTTCATTTAATGCGGTTTATTAATTTAGCAGAGAATTACAACACATAGCCTACTACCCCAAAACACTTTGGAAAAAAAGTAAATTATCAAACAATGCATTCAAGTTCTGTTTTCTATTATAATTACTAAAAGGAAAAAAAAACAAAACAAAAAAATAAATAGATTGCATCAAGTCTTGATATGCAGAAGTCCCTCCTCCTGGATGAGCATGTAGCCACAGTGGACAGTTGCTTGCATTGTGTTGTTGACCTTGTAGCACTCATTCATGTTCTGAAAGGGGAAAGAAAAACTCCCCTTTAACAGAAGGAAACCGCTCTTAGAACCAGACTCAGTGTTTTAGTGGCCATCTGATTATCAAGTTGGGGTTTGAGGGGAAACACAAACACGGAAACCTACAAAAGCTCAAATCCAGAAGAACTTTCTCGGCTAAAAAAAGTCAAAAGGTAACCTGGGGAGTGTTTGCCTAGTGGTTAGAGCTGTGTGCTTGTGCTCTGAAAAGGTTGCAAGTCACCGTTTCGATCCCTACAGCCGGCACTCTAGGTCTCTGAGCAAGACCCTTAACCCCACACTGCTCCCCGGGCGCCACACAACGGCAGCCCACTACTCCCCAAGGGGATGGGTTAGAAGCAGAGAGTTAATTTCTCCATTGTGAGATCAATAAAGTTCAATTTCTAATGGCTGTACTATGTCCTTCAGTGTTTTTATGTAGAGGCAGAAGAACATTGTTTTATCTTATAAGTGAGATACCAAGTCACATTTCCCTTCAGATCAGATAATACCTATCTTTGTCTATCTGTCTCCTCTGTTGTGTATTCCTGTCATAAATCACAGATCTATAATTACATGAAACTGGTTTGCTGACTCTAACAGCCTTATAACAACCACCTGCAAGGTGTTCACTGCAATGCTTTGACGTACAGAAGAAAATCAGTCCTGACAGCCAGAGATGATTCTAAACATTCAATCATCTTTCTCTTTCATAACATATTATTGCACCACAGCAAAAAAGACTTGTCTCGTCTTGCTATGAGATACCTTCTCGAATTCCTGTCTTGGGGCCTGTTTTCTGCTTTTGCATTGCAGCTACAAGTTTCTGCTTGCTGTATCCAAACATTTGGTCCATGGTTCACGTAGAGGCTCCGACGTAGTCATACTTATCCAGAATAAATTAGGTTACATTCATATATTTAGAGATTATGGCTCATTATCTCTTTTCATTGACAGCTTTAAAGGGTTGACGTCTACACAGACTGAGTAATCCATCTTTGTTTACAGTGACACATAAAATAAACAGAAACCTTTGTGCTTCATGTGGGAAGAACCTGAAATACTGAATACACACAGCAAAAATCCTTTATGAAAAACTATAATCTTGCAGTTCATATTTTGATGAATAACAGAGTGAAAAACAAAGAATCAAGGATCTTATGTAATACATTTGCAAATCATATATTTAAAAAGTCTGTTATGACTGAGAACTTAATCCAGATTGGCTCATTATACTCAAACTGGCTTCATCAAGGATAATATCCTCATTAAAATAGATTTGAGTCACTCTGCGCACAATCTTTGTTAGACTTAAGTATGAAAGTCAATATGAACCAATAGCACCATCTAGTGATAAAAACCGTTAGGTGTTTTTTTATGTTGTTGTTTTTTTACATACACAACATGGCTGCTCCCTGTTTTGCGGATTTCTATGCAGGAAGAAGCTGCAAACCATGAGGAAAACCCGGTAATTTTTACCATAGATATATTTAAATCTGCATCAGTAAAAAAGACGCGCACTTTTGGAAGAGCGCTCTTTGCTCTGCATTCACGGAATTATGCCAAAACATTCTCCCATGTTGAAACTTACCATTGTGTTGTTTGTTTACCAGTTTACCGAGTTGAATTAATACATTTTACAGCTGAACAAAAGGGGAAAACTTTAGAGGATCGTATTAAATGATACTAACTGAAACATTTCTTTAAAAAAAACAGGAGGAAATGCAAATTAAAAAGAAAGAAAACAGATGAGATGTCAGACTGTAATGATAAGTACTTCTTTGATGCTTTACATCTATCCAGGAACTCTGACTCAGTCCAAGACTTTTGCGCTTTCCAGAATTTAAAACCTCTGCAGGCTTTTACAAACCGGGATGCAGTATCATGACCCAAGGGCCATTATGAAACGGTTTATCTCCCTGCTATCTTATTGGCATTCTGGCAGTAGCATTTGAATATTAAGCAGGGGCCCCCTCAACGAATTTGGGGCCCACTGAAAGACAATTCATATTGCCTCCCTGCATTTCTTGTAATTTCACGGGGTGAGTTGATTTGTCATTTACTGCTGAAAACCAAGTGAGGACACAATAATAATTTATTTTACCTCTGCATTTTTCTTATATCCTAAAAATATAGCAGAATATATATTTTGGGGCCATCCTCATTCATCCAGACACTTTTACAATCATCTAACCTGCAAAAAAAATAGAAGAATATGCTAGTTTTTTGCTCTCCCATTTTTACAAGAAGCCATAAATTAAAGCAGTATTTTTAGACTGTATTAAGAATGATAAGAAAAAAGAGACATGTTGCTTATATTTGCTTATGAGAAAACCCTGATATTTTTAACATGGGTGTGTACACTTAAAAAAAAAACAGAACAAAGCTCTCAGTTATCAAATCCAAAATATATGAAGGTTATGAGGTCATTTACATCACAATACTGGAAAGGCTGTTCCTGTTCTGGAAAGGTAATGGGTTGTACAAGCAACATATATACTAAACTAAGACACTTTCATTGAACAAACGACCGAATGACAATAAAATTTTGCTTAAACAGGAGATTTCTAAATAGAGATAACCTGTAGTGACACTTTTTCAGGATCACTCCATCACTCCTCAAACCACCGATGAAGCAGAACCTAAATTAGTTGGTAAAAAGTGGTACCTATTGTACCTCATCTGCTGTCTCAAAGAACCTTAGATAACAGTGGTACAGCCATAAGTTACCTTCCAATTTCGAGTGAAAGAGATCACAATCTTTCACATACATATAAATATACCAGACAGATATGCAAAAATATGTTGTAAAAGGCCATACTCTTTAATCTTACCAAGGGAGCATATGGATCTTGATTAAAGTGGCCCAACATGAAGCCTTGAGAAATCCTACATTGGATTTTTGTGAGCTTTTTTGTGTTTTTATATCTGATTTTAGTGCTTTTAAATGAGAGTTGTCCTGAGCTGTCAAGTTTAGTTTGTTTGGGCTGTTGTCATCGTATGATGTTGTAACTTTCAGCTTCCTCTCTCTATAGACACAATGGAAACAAAGGAAGTGATCAACCTTGCTCTTCAGCTAGAGAAGTTAGCTGCAGAGCAAAGCTTCGGGAGCATCATGACCCTGCTTGATGATCTTGATAAGGCGAATATAACTCCGGAGCAGCTGGAAACAACGGATATCGTCAAAGTCCTTTATAAACTCCTAAAAACTTGTTCGGGGAGTAGTGTGAAGAAAAAAGCAAGGAGTTTGTTGTCAAGGTGGAAGAGGCAGTACAGTAGAGAGAGGCAGGAAGACAAATGTTTGGGTAAGAGCACGGGTTCTGGAAATTCCTGTGGGGTTTCTTTAGAACCGATAGGGGATAATAGTGTTTCCAGGGATTCTCTTCCAGATTTTAAACAGATTTCTGGAGCTAGTAAGGAAAGTTCATCAGAACGGGGATGTCACACTTCCACTGGAGTAAAGGCCCCCAGCTCTTGTGACTCTGTGAGAACTAAATGTGTTAATCTCCTGCTTGCCGCCCTCCACCCTGAGCCTCCTGATCAAGACAAAGCACCAGAGCTCGCTAAAAGCATCGAGCAGCACCTCCACAACCTCCACGGAGCCAGCCATCTCAAATACAAAGCCAGCATAAGGTGCAAGCTGGCCAATCTAAGGAATCCCAAAAATGGCCACCTAAGGGAAGGACTCCTTTGTGGCTCTCTGGCTCCTGAGGTTTTCGCCCGAATGTCTGTAGAGGAGATGGCCAGTGCTGAACTGCGTCAACTACGGGAGGAATACTCGTCCCAAGGAGTGAGCGAGAGGCAGCTCCCCCAAGGGTTGGAGGGTACACCGACGAAGAAGATCCACTGCAAAAGATGTGGAGGATCAGACTGCAGGGTGACACAGGTGTCTAGAGGAGCCCTGTTTTTGCCTGCGTGGGTGAGGCGTGGTGGCCCTGATGAGGACGCAATGACCTTTGTGACTTGTAGCCGGTGTGGCCAGCAGTGGTACCACAGCAGCTGGGTGTGCCTCTGAATCAAAACAACAGGTTATTTAACAGCAGTGATTGCTTAGTGATTATCTAAAGGGGGGATTTTAATAAAAAACATATCAGATGGTTACAGATAATTGATTCTATGTAAACTTTGTTTGCATTTTCTTCTTAATCTGAAACTGAGAATAAGTTTGGCTGCTTGAATAAAAGTCCAAACAGTGCTGCTTCATCTTTACTAAAGTAAAGTCACTACATTATGAAGCTGCTGCCCGAAACCACAGCTTCTAAAATCAGCCAGTCATCATGTTCCCTATGATTCATTTCCTGCCTTCTTCAGGTCTAATATCTAAGAGGTTTATAGACTCAGAGTGGTTGCTATTACTAACAACTTCCTGATAATGTTTGTGATGTAGAGGTCTAAAATGCCTTAAAGTGTTCACATCTCTAAAACCGCTTTTGTCCCATTACAATGTGTCTTCTACGATTGCCCCCCTGGTCAAACCTCTTCCACTGTTGCCCTAAACTAAACAAACACACAACTGCCACAGATAAATCATGTTATGCAAAAACCAATAAAAACTGCCAAAATGTTGATTTCCTTTTACAAAAACTAAAGTTAATCATTCTCTAATAGATGTTTCACAACTTAGCCCTGTTTTAAGATGTCAATAATCAGTGTACGATAAGTATATAAATTATTCCTCTTTATTCTTTTCTCAATCCAAGGTGGTCCTAATGCCTTTCTTCTTAAGAGTCCTAAGGCATTAAAAAGGAATAATGGTTGTTTATATTTTGGCCAAAATTTAAATGAATAAGTGTTTGATACTGAATAGTTCAGAAGAAAATCTTAATAGTATAATTATGAATAATAATGAACTTCAGTTTAGCTACCAGCTTCAGTGTTAGTAGCTTCCTCTGGTGTTCTGCAGTATTTAAACTGTACTTGTGCTGTAGTGGCCCAACATGATTAGTTATATATGGAGATACACAGTGTATATAGAGACATATGCATGCATTGTATTGTTTTGAAAAATCAAAAAGACGAAATAAATATATTCGATATTAAAATATTTGATAAGAAGGCAGGGAAAACTGATAGAACCATCTGGTTGGATGAATAAAGGATGCAGAAAATTGATACATTCACATAAAAAGCTTTTCCAAATCTTTTTTTTTTCTTTTGCATGAAAAGATTTTTTAATTACTTATCACAAATACAATTAAACAAAGCCTTTGTTTAAACATAAAGTCTCCTTTTTATCATAAATCCAGCTGTCTGTCTGGAGTATTTTTTCTGGCCCACATTAGTATGCTTAAATCTGAATTTATAGTTTTTGGGTTGTTCCACCAAGAGGCAAAACTCGGTCTTCAAGTTGCCGGGTTTCTCCAGCCTCTTAAAGGTTTTCTCTCTATCAACTCTTACAGGCCCATTATGCCACATTATGATACAACCAAAGGTGAATTCTGTGTGCCAGAATGAGGGTAAAGAGTTGTACAAATCTCTAATAATGGAAGTCAAAAATGCCCCAATCAGCTTACAATAGCCCATTCAGTTGCTACAAATGAGACATGTGATATCAGAGCATGTTAAGCATGTGAGGCAGTAATACCATATTCCACCCCCAGTGGTTTGAAGTTACAAAGATATCAGGGAATACATCAGTCAAATCCTGCCATTTTCTGTTTACACATAGCTTATCTTCTGGTTCATTTGTTGAATTAAGAATTTCACCCTTTTATCACTGAGGTTTTTTAGCAGTATTACTGCAAAGAAGCGTCAAATAAGGAAAGACTGTCCCAAGTTTTGTAAGATTATTTGCTGAAAAACTGAAAATAACAGAGTAGAATTTTGTTTTCTAATTTGATGCACATAATATCTTCAAAACTTTTAATGGGAAGTTGTTTCCAAGATTAATGACCTAATAGATGTCACATGTATACTTTTATTTGCTGTTGAACAATCTGTACACTTCTTTTGAATGGCATAAAATTAGCATTGAGCAAATTTAGGAGAGTAGCTGCTCTTCAAGAACCAGTTTATTACTTATTAAAAAATCAACACACTTCTGTCTTAGATGAAGACATGCATCCTTGCATGTCCACATTTTTAAATGGGGCTACGAGAAGGCAGTGTCATTGGTACACTTTTTTATTACAAGGCCCTTCTTGAATTACCACCCTCTTACATTTTTACCTTATTTACAAAGAAAAGCATGGCGTCTTATGCCCTAAGATCCAAGGAGCAGCTGTTGCTCACTTTTCCTTTTGCCCGCAGAGAACTAGGGAAGAAAGCTTTATGCATGGAATTTATTACAAAGAAACTAGAAGTTGACTGAGTTTTTATCTTTAAATGCTTTTAAGTTAAAAGTGAAAGAATTTGAAGCAGCCTCAATGATCTGTAATTGTTTTATTTTAGATGTTTTTTTATGTACTTGTCATGTATTTTAATGTATCAATGTTTCTTATTTAAATTTGCTGCCTCTTTGATAGGACTTCCTTAAAAAAGAGGTTTTTATTCTCAATGGGATTTTCCCCCCTGGTTAAATAAAGGTTAAAAAAAAAAGAAAAACGAAACAAGTCTAAGAAAAAACTAAATTATTTTAATGGAAAAAATACATTTAGGAAAATCCTTTAAAGTTTCATTAATTGGCAATACTTTCTTTTTAAAGATATAGTGTCACAAAAACTCCATTAATAATGTTTTTTTTTTTTTCTTTTCTTTTAATAACTACGAAGAACAATTGCAGATTCAATCTCCACCCACCCCCGTGAAAAAAAATGTGTAAACCACGCTACATATGTTGTGGATTATGTGGAATCATAGAGGAGGCGGGCGTGACCGTCAGTCGGTCATATGAGCGTCATCAGCCGATCCTGTGCTCCACAGCAGCTGGGACCCACTATAGGCAGCACCATGCCTGTGCTGGATAATTGCACTTTACCAGGATAGACAAGAGGATGTGAACGCCTGGAGCCATACAGTAAGCCATATAAACACAGGTACTTATACCAAACAGATACAATATGAGTGCTTTTAACAAAATAGCTATTTTCCCGGAGTTTTAATCGGTTACTGAACTCGTAAGAGTGACGCGCCTGGTACTTGTATTATCGGACAACAGTTTGCGGTAAACTCTCCGTAATAAGATCAGTTCCAACCTTTGATCTGTCCTGAAGTTTTGTCAAAATCATTAACTGGAAGCAACGTAATAGTTTTGGATTGATACGTTGCCTATCTTGATGTGGTTTTATTCAGTTCACAACTTTTTTCTACCTGTTTGCAGTTTGAGGCAGTAACCATGTTTCTGCATGTCCTTAGGCCGGCCAGCTGGGGGCGACAAAGAGCCCTTCAGTTTTCAGACTTTTGTTTTAAAGATTCGATTCCTAAAAAGATAAGTAAAATATAATAGATAATAAATACATTTTCCTTATTAGATTTTTTATATAGAAGCAGAATAGTATTATTATTATTATACTTTCGTAACCATGGTTAAATTGCTGGGGATATATATATATATATATATATATATATATATATATATATATATATATATATATATATATATATATATGTGTGTGTGTGTGTGTGTGTTTGTAGTCGTTTATTCGAAGATAAAGAGTAATAAGCCATTTTCACGAATGTGAATATATGTGAAACACAAAATTGTTCAATTTTCACCCTTCCTCTCTACAAGTCTGCATTGAAATGCTACACCAGACAGGCAAAATAAATCAATAAACAAAATTAAAGTCAAAGAAATGACCCCATTTCTGCATTATATATTTATTATTTATTTACCTTTTAACCATTTTGTGATATTTGATGAGTGAAAAACCTATATTATTCTGTTTAAATATCTTACTGTCATTTTAAGAATTTCAACACTGGTTTATCAGTAAACTGTAAATCTTTTTTTTATCTTGAATGCACCACATACATACATTTAAGCATTGTAGTACTTGAAGCTCTGTAATTAAATGTTGCCATTTAAATTGGGCTGGAAAAAAAAAGAAAAAAAACTTTTAGAGATTTCTTATCCTAATAGTTAACCACCTACAGACCACTAAACATTAACCAGGATGTTAACCTCCCTGGAAACCACTAAAAATAAATCTCATGTGAGCTGTGAGGTGTGTCTCTCAAAACTGCTGGCTGGATTTCAACTCTAACTCAGCTGGGTAAATGATTAGCTTGCAGTTTCTTTAGATTGGAAAATAAAACAGGACTTGTGTTTTTGAGGTCATGCAGCCTGTTTATTAACCACAGTCAGGCCACACAGACGCTGTATCCTCTAAATGAAGCACATGACTCCTGATTTGTTTCTGCTGGTATTATTTCTTTAGAGGAAATGACGATATAGCAGCATGTTTAAAGGCTGCAAGAGAACAAGATCATTTAGTCTTTGTTACGAAAAGTCATTTCTGATGGAAGCTCATGTGACATTCAACTTTTGTGCGATGAAAAAAAAAACAATATTCAGTTTATCCTCTTTCTTTTTTTTATTGATAAACTGACAGGTGCAGACATGTCTCCAAAAATCATTATGGACTGTGGGAACCTCACACTCAAAGTAGACTGAAACATTGGCTGGCTGATATTAGTGTTTTTTTCCTGTATCGTCGTTTTAGATGTGCACTTAGCAGCTTTGCTGTGAGTCTTTCTTATCATTGTTTTATTTGATCATGTAAAAAGGGAAATAAAAAGCTATATTTGCTTTAAAAATCGGCTCCCATAAACTAGCAACACATATCTTGGATTGATTCGACTTTACTTTCAAAATAAAAGAACAGTACAGTACTCGACCTCTTATTATGTGGGTCCAGCTTTAATCGCCTGCCTATAGAATTGCATAATTTGCATTACTTAACTTTATTTTAATATAGCAACTGCTTTAAAAATGATTTGAACTGTAAATTACAATCCAAGTTTAACAATCATTTATGTGTAATTATATTTAAAAAGCCACCGTCTTCACCGTGTCTTTTTAGATTAGTTTAAAGTAACTTATCCTACAAACTTTCAATATAAACGTCTTTATCATCAAAACAGATGGCTTTAATGACTTTAAGTCTTATTTTAATGATTTAAAATTTCAATAAGACATTGTTTTATATTTTAAAACTTTTACATAGGGAATAAAGTGTTTTATTCTGAAATGCTAAATGGCTAAGTAGACTTATTTTCATTTCCTGTTAATTGCATCTACGCCTTTCCTTTTTGAGTTTATATTTATTGTAACTTCATAGTTAGAATTGCACTAATTAGATCCAGTTAACTGTTCCCAGCATGTCCATTGATTTTAATCATTTTGTTTCTTATTTCATGTCCTTAAAGAACACTTAGTGAATGAATAATTGCATGAAATTCTTTCATTAAAGATTATTTAGGCATCAATAAACAACTTAATCAGATTACAGGAATGTTTTTGGTAACGCCTTTGGTTATGATCCTTCTTTCTTCAGAGATTTTAACTTGAAAGGATCTATTTAGTGGAAAAAAGGAGGAAATATCTTTTTTTCCGATTACTGTGGAATTTCTGCAGATCCTGTGATCAGCATCCATGTGATTCCTCACACGGATTATTCCACGCCTTACATATTACTCATAGTGTATATGAATGGTGCAGCATGCTGACCGGGCTGTTGATAGGATTACCTGGTCTGTTTGAGTGGGAGTAAACGGCTTAGCAGTTCATGTAACCTGGACGACGAGCTGAAAGTTAGCCCAGAAGCAGTTTCTCCTCATCTGAACTTCTGTTGATTAGTAAAGGTCAAACATACCGAGCGTTTATGAGTCATGTGGTCTGATGGATGAAATCAGAACTAATGAGTGCTTCTCCTTTTATTTACAAGCATGGATGCTCTTTAAATGTGCAACTTCACATTTTTTGTTATTTATTTGGTGCTCTTAAGAGAAAATTCCTGATGATATTTGCTAAATGTAATAAGAGAAGAAAAGGAAAAAGAAAAGTTGAATTGAAACCCCACTCCTTGACCTTTCCACAGTGATTAGTTCAACAAATTACATTTTCAGGGGCTTCAGTTGGCTGTTCCCAGTGGTTTAAAAGTGTTAAAAGACTGGAGTTTATGGTCTGTTATTGTTTTTCTTTCATTTTTTTTTTTTTAATGTCCTGTTTTGCTAATATAGCTTTGGGAATCTAGAAAATAGCCGCACACATTTGCTCTCACAAGCAGACCAGCATTAAGGTTGTTACCATAAGACTCCCCTTGGTAATAATGTATATGAACATTTATTGAAAACGATTCAGGGAATAAAATGGTATATAAAGGACCCTGGGATGGAAAGGCAGGTGAGAAAGGGAGATGATACGAATTAATGGGGCAAGAGAAAGAGATGGAGATAGAAAAGAAAGCAGAAAAGAAAGCAAAAAAGTAACACAAATGACAGAAGATATACAGTAACTCCTAGTTGTCTGCTTCCACACCTTCATGAGTCAAGAGGGAAAGAAAACAGAGGAAAAAAAACAATAGCAAAAAGAAAAAGACAACTAAAGTAAACATCAAAATAGGGTTTCCCTTGTAACGGCTATCCCTAATACATTCAGTCTGTATGTGTGTGGAAAGCTAAACCTATGGCGATTAAACAACATTAGAATAGAATAGGGTTTTATTGATCTCACAATGGAGAAATTCACTTGTGACATCATCTCTTATAAACAAACAAAAGTTGCACGAAGGAGGAAAAGGTGCATGAAGTATATTCAGTGCATCCAGATATATACAGTGGATGGTAAAAAATAAAGGAGAGATTTTAGGTGATTTATACAGTATCTTATATACAGTAAGGTGGTGACAGGTAAAGTGCGGCTTCTGCTTTAATAAATGAATAAATAGTATGTTATTGCAGTGTTATTACACCAGATTATAGTGCAGTAGCATTGTAAAGTATGATAACAGCAGAGATGAATAGCCTGCATTATCACTCCTTTTATAAACAGGGTGTATGTGTCTGTTACTAAGGAGCTGCTGGGCTCCTCTACCTCAG